ATAAACCTTTCTTGCCCCATAGATTTCAAACACACTAGCTGGACATTAAGCGCTACCACGTGGAAGGAGCGTTTAATGTACAACAATACTGATTTTAGGACCACATATTATCTTAATACTATTGTTTATTGTTATATATTTTTAAGAAGTAGTTTATTTTTTTTTCCTTTTACAATGTCAAGTAACTGCATTAATGTAATTCCAAGATACATTTTATTTTAAAAAAAAGAAATATAGAAAATACAAAAAAAAAATCAACCATGTAAATAAAATTAGGTAGCATACTTGTGAAAATGTATATAAAGAATATACCATATTGTAATCTGTTGTTATTAAGGTAAATCATAAAATCTAACCAAATAATAAAATTGTGGTTCCTCTTCTTAAATTTCATTAACTTTTTTTCCTAATGTGGCAATTGAATAGGCTTTATTAATCCACAACTCAGTTGTTATATTATCTAACGTTTTCCAATGTTGCACAATTATTGCTGTTTACCTGAAGTTTCTGCATCCACACCATTTTCATCTGCCACCTTGAGAAAAATCTGAAAGACAAAAGCGATGTATGCTGCTTTATGCTAAGCTACCTTGCAGGATCTGCCTTCAAGGCTCTATAGCAGAGATCCCCAACCCGTGCCATGGAGAAATATTTTTCCACAGACCAGAGGGGGTATGGTTTTGAATACTGCCTGCATCGCAAGGATGGAGTTTTGCTTGTTTGTGAGGCCTGCTTGCTGGCATGCTGTGGACCGGTGCTGGTCCATGGACCGGGGGCTGGGGACCCCTGCTCTATAGTATGCTTCTGAATAAGCTGCATAAGTCATTTCAAGTGGTGAAGGTACTGGAGTAGCAATCAGCAGGCTATGAGTTCTAGTCCCGTTTCAAGCACGAAAGCTGGCAGAACTATTGTCACTCATTCTCAGCCTAACTCACCTCACATGGTGATTGTTACTGGGGAAATTGGAGGTGGGAGCATAATTTATACCAGTGTGTTTCTCAACCTTGGCAATTTTAAGACATGTGGAGTTTAATTCCCAGAATTCCTCAGCCAGCATGTTGAAGTTGAAGTCCATACAGACATCCAATCCAGGGTTGAGAAATACTGATTTACACCATCTTGATTTGTACAAAATAAAGTTAGGATATAAATCTAATTATAATAAATAACACCAATCAAACCTTTATTATTATTTATAATAAATAAATAATGCCAGTTAAAGCAAGCAGATTCCAACTTGATAAAATCAAGAAAATTGAATGATGAAAGGCCACTCATATTAACACTTCAGCCAGGAATCAAATGCTTTATGTTTAAGCATGATTAATGCTCTTTTGTTTCCACAAACTCTTTTTTCCCCCTGATGCTATCCTTTTAGATTTCTGTCTGAAATAAAGTCTGACAATTATTGCGGCTGTTTTAGAAGACTTTAAAAATATTTTTTCATACCAAAAAGTATATTAACAACTTTGGTAGGAGTAAAAGCGTAGTAAAACAGAAATTTTAAGAAATATTTCCCCCGGTCTTTCTTATTAAGGGTCTCTCCCTACACTGCGTTGATATTTTCCCCCCTAGAGTTAACAGTCCAACTCTATCCTGCTTCGATGCCTCCACTACAATTACAATCCTAACAGGTTTACACACTTTGAAGCAGCCTTTGGACTGTGATGAAATAAACTAGAGAAAACTACGTAAACACTTGTGCAGCTTAAGCTGATTTAACCTGTTTCCCTCGTGAATGGAGAAGGGTTTGGAGGCAATGTCCTGATGACATAGCAGTGAAAAGGGGATGCAGGAGAAGGCTTGTGGTATGGGTAATTAAGCACATGTAAGAAAAGACCCAAAGATATGGATCTCATGGAAGAGAAAAAAAGCCAAGATGAGCTACTCTCAAGTGGCAGAGGATTTCTTAGAAAAAGGATTCCTGATTTAATCCATGACATTTCCAGGTAGGGCTAGGTCACGTTTAAGGTTACAGTGACCTAGTTTTTTTCTTTTCTTTTTTTTATAGATATTTTATTAAGTTTTTATAGTTACAATCTTTAGTGCTCAATAAACAATGTGTCGTCTGGATCCACATATTTGACATGAATAGTAATACAACTTCCATTCCTACTCCATTTTACTAGCCATTTGTAAACATTATCCCATGTTTGAAAATATTTTGCATCTTCTTTCCCTTTCATTTTCAATGTAAGCCTATCCATTTCTGCACAGTCCAAAATGTGTTCTCAGTGATTATGTGATCTAGTTTTTTCAAAGATCCCCACAGAGAGGTTAGGAGAGGACAGCCCTTTCCCCAAAGAATGCTGGAAGGAACGATTAGTTTTTTGCCCACCACACAGATGGCAGTTCTGATTAGGCCTGTACCGCCATGCATGGATGCCCTGATAAGCGTAAGTCAAATCCAGAGGCAGAACTGTAGAGAACTGCTCTTAGCAGAGCTCACAGTAACATCAGTGGAGACGAAGTTTATGTGCAGTTCCTCAGAGACACCTGAACATTCCCTGACCTCAGTTCATAGCATTGGAGAATTAGATCCATGAACAGCCCCCAAATTCTGAGTTTTTAATTTCTTATTATTACTATTTATTTATTACTATTGCTATTTTTACCCACCAGAAAAGCCACCACTTTTACAGAGTTTTGTAACCATGCGATTCGTTTTATGAGAATGGGTACGTTTTGGAAGCACACCTCGCTGCCAAGTGTAAAAAGGCTATTATTGGACCAGGGTACCTGAAGAGCTGTCTCTTCCCAATTACATTGCGCCCATCCCATCTGGTTAAGCAGGGAGGAGGACATGCTGCGTATCCCATTGGTCAAAGAATTTTGACTGGCGGGATCCAGGAGGAAGGCTTTCTCTGCTGTTGCTTTTGCCCTTTGGAACATCTGACCTTCAGAGTTGAGGCGAACCTCCACTCAGTTGGTTCTCTGGAAAGGCGTTAAGACCTGGCTTTGGGGTGTGTTGCAACCCTGGGGATGGCTGGTGGATTGAGGGCACTGCCTCCGCCTTATTAACTTTTTAGCTGTCTGAATTTTTTTAATTCTGGTTTTCACTTTTAACTGGTAAATTTTCACTTTGTTCTTAACTTGTTTTTTTGTTTTTTGTTTTAATCTGAGCCGTTCCTCGTATTGATTTATTACGCTGTTCTAAATCATCCTTAGGGGAGATTGGCAGTGTAGGAATTTAATGATAAAAAAAATAAGTAATAAAATAAATCTCAGCCGCAGCTCGCTGGGAGCAAACCAAGCTGTGGATGATTTCAGAACTGCTGCTGTCCTCTGCGTGGTTCAACGTACCTCTTCCAAGGTAGTCTCAGAAATGCCATAGCTGGAAATCCCCAGGTCAGAGAGGCGGTCATCAATCTCATGAAACAGCTCCACAAAAGCTCCTTCTCGGGCAGCTTCATAGGGCAAGACATAACTTAACTCGTGGCCAATGTCCTCCACCAGTCTTGCTTCTGGGACGTGCTTCATAATCAGATTAGAAATTGCAGATACATCTAGAAAAATGCAAGGAGTCATCAAATTCTGCTCCTGCCGCTGTTGCTTTATGCTGTGCCAACTAAATGTAATCTTTTCATAATCAGATATTGCTAACGATCAAAGTGCTTATCTCCAGGAGTTGAACCAATATAAGATAACCACTTCTTATCCATTGCACAGTAGAACTGAATTCACAATAGAAAATTAGACACAGGCTGTGATTTCCATGAACAGAAGGGCTTCGTCTGTCCATGGAAGGATTCTCATGTAACAGAGGAAGCCCACCTGGGCCATGAGGATAGGGGGAGCTACCTATGTCCTTTCCAGATTTATTCCAGGGGGCAAGGCCCTCTTTAGAAGAGCAGGTGTTATGGGATGTAGGAGGAGAGAAGAAACCCACTACTACATTAACCAACAGCAAAAGCCCATCAAGGAGAGGCAACTTGACAGAAGTAAAGTTTGATTGCTAACACTCCTTGCTTAGATTAATAGTCTATCAATACTGCAGACATTGGTCTATTTTTTTAAATGTCAAGAAAATTAATATCAAAATCCTATCAAAATACTACACTGTGGATTAAGAACTCCTCTTCTAGCCAAACAAAGTGCAGAAGAAGTTCAGTTCGCAAGAAACCACCTTACCTATTGTTGGAGTGTCACTTTCGTGGTCGCTCCCAAGGCCTGCATCAGAACTACTCTGAGAAACACTGTCATCCTAGTTACAGAAGAAAAGGTAATCAGAAGATCTTTAGATCAAGAGGAAATACATTTTAAGGAACACTGCAACTCTTAACACAAAAGCAAGCAAGGCAGGCATTGAACTCAAATCAATTAGAAATCAGAACATTGCTACTTCTTAACGCTGTTGTGCTCCTGAACATTTTGTATGATTACAGACCCCAAGAAAGAAGTTATTACACTTGAGAAGCCCCATCTATTTAGATTGTTTTAAGCCGTACTGGCAACAGTTCCTACCTTTTTCAGATAAGATATTGTGCTGCTGCTGTTTCTACAGGAGCTGAGTGAAGAATCTACATCCTTCTTGACTAAGGTCAGGTAGTATCCTGTGCCCAGCTGGTTCTTCAGGAATAATGAAGAGCCAACGCAACAAAGTTTGCCATTAGATATGATGGCAATTCGGTCTCCAAGGATGTCTGCCTCATCCATGTGGTGGGTGGAGAGAATGATAGTGCGACCTACCATTCAAAAGAAACACACCTGTGTTAGGGAAGCTTAGTGATCATGCGATTTCTGTTTTCCTTACATGGGCAAACAATAGCTCGGAGACGGCAAATGAACACCGGGGAAACAGGAACAAATTGACTTTCCCACACAGCTATGGGAGTCCCAAGCTTATCCGAAGAGCCTTGCAGATGCCAAAGCAAGAAGACACAGAAGATGGAAGATCTGCCATTCTAGCTGGCTGAAATCTGATGCTAACTTTATGATTGCCCCTTAGTTAAAGCACAGAAATTTGTTAGGTTCCTTCTCCTATGCACAATTTTACAAATAACTGAAGGGTCAACTGGAGGACCACAGCCTATTCAAACACCACCTCATGAGGAACATCCATAACTCAGTGGAAGAGAACACATGTCGCATTGCAGAAAGTCCCACTTTCAATTCTTAGCATCTCTAGTTTAAAAGATTATACAGATTGTTGGGCTGGGAGACACCTTAACTTGAAACATCAGAAAAGTAATAGTGATCGGTTGCTGTGAACAAAACGTTAGCAAGACTAAAAAGCTTTCATCTGGAAGATCTTGGAGAGCCAGCTTAGACTTAGCTTAAGCCATCTTCTGCCCAATCTTCCTCAGCACAGACAAATCTTTTGGCAAGCATACTTTGAGAGTTCAACTCAAATGTGGAATATTATAATGAAAACAGTGATCTTCTTATTGCATGCAATTATATGTTTCATTCTTGCACACAAAAGAAGGCAAACAAAAACACACAACATAGAATTAAATTGTATGCAATTTAAATTGTAAATTGTAAATCAGATCACCGTCTGAGCAAGCTTAATACTGTATATACATTAGCTGGCAATTGGTTTCTGGGGTTTTAGATAGGACTCTTTCCTAGCGCAAAGTGGAGGTTATAGAAATTGAAATAGGAACCTTCTTCGTGTAAGGTAGGTACTCTGTCACTAACCCTCTGCTCTTTTCTATCTTAAAAATTGTGCTTCCGGCAATCATCACCCAATATAAGCGTGCAAAGTTTCACTGACCCACAAGACAAAGGAATACCTTGTCGATATTTCAAGAGCAACTCCCAGATCCCTCTTCGGGAATATGGATCCACTCCAGCTGTTGGCTCGTCAAGAATGACAACTTTAGAACCACCTACAAAGGCCAGAGCTATCGAAAGCTTTCTCTGCATGCCACCTAGGAGACAAGTTTGGACAGATTTAGGCTCTCTGGGGATATTTTGTTTTTTAATGCTTTCAAATTCTTAGAATGATTGTTTTATATAGGGGTTGTTTCATCTGATTGTCGTACGCCACTTTTCATGAGATGGGCGGCCATGGAAATTTGATTAACAAATAAGTATGAAGAACCACCATCATGCACTTATGTGAATATATCCCAATGGGAAGCAAGCGGGCAGGCATGTTGTCACTAAAATAATCTTTCCCAATTAAATATCCTTCAGATGAGCTACATAACCATTAATTATTATGCAATTTGAGGAAGGACACATCCATGCCTTTAGGAGACAAATGAAAAGAAATATAATTCCAGAGTGACACCATTGGATTTTTCTTATCATTCTATAGCAAAGATTTCTTAAATATGGATGGGCCATCTTGAAATGAGAGCTTGGTTTTCTTTTCCTTTTATTCCCTAAATTCCTCAAGGAAGATCCTGTAAATCCCAATTTTTTTCTGACCATCCAGGAGGAATCTTCATGTTTGCTGCTCAACTGAGACCACCCTCCACATTTTTTTCTTCCCATTTTCTTCTCCATCTACCACCCACAATAAATAGAATGTTATGTACAAAGAATGTTGTTCTCAAGAGTTTAGAAAGTCTCCTTGTAGCTTACAAAAGAAGAGCAATGATTTATCAGCCCAAAGAGCTCTCAACATCTTATCATTCTACAGGTATGCAGTTAAGATAAGCAACACTAAATAACTGAATAATAGCAATTTACCAGAAAGTTGGTTTGTCTTAGATTTGAGTTTGTGAGGCAAGCCAACATCTATAGCCATTTGTTCCATTTCCTTTTTCACCAACTTTTTCGGCAGCCCCTTCAGGCGTGCATAAAACCAAATGTGTTCTTCCACTGTCAGCCTAGGGAAAAGGGAGAAAAGGACGAGAAACAAGACATTATATATGTGTTATTTGGTTATTTTAATCTAATTTAAAATTGAGACTATGCCTAGCATAGGTTATTTTCCCATTTATAGTTTTGATACCCAGCCATAGATGACATGATATAAAATCTGATGACTAGATGTTTTAGAACACCCTGTAAGTCACTAGTGGGGGAAATTACCAAAGACCATCTATACATAGATCAAAGAAGGTTTCTTACAGCTTATCAGACCGTTTATTATCTATCCTAATATTTCCTAATCAATCCTCTCTCAGACAGATGCTTTTCTTCCTTGACTGCAGCTTCTAGAAGACCAATCAACTTGGGTACCGTATGAATATCCTGATGGAGATAACGGAGAATTAGGAGGGTATGGTTGTTTTATTTATTTATTATATTTTTATCCTGCCTTTATTACTTCAAAAGTAATGTAAGGCGGTGAATATACTGTACATAATACTCCTTCCTCTTCCTATTTTCCACACAACAGCACATTTGTGAGGTACTTTGAGCTGAGAGCGAGTGAATGACTTGCCCAAAATCACCCAGCTGGCTTTCATGTCCAAGGTAGAATTAGAACAGTCTCCTCTCCTCAACTTCCCTCCCCTCCCCTGCTCCCCTCTTTAAGCCACATGCTTGTGGACACAATCCAAATATGTATAGGAAACATGCCTGAAGGGTTTTGGGAGAAAAAGCAATTTTAAGAAAACTGTATCATGTGGGATGAAAGCTCACAACTTCTGAACATCTGGGGGAGTCAGAGCATCTGAAGAAAGTTGCCAACAATCTCATTTAGTTACACAGTCAGCAAATGAAAACAAAAGGGCTCTATCTATAAATGAGTTCTTGCACAAAACTCTCTTTGCCAAGGGAGAAAAGCATTATTCTTCCCCTTCACTTACTATGCTTCAGTGGGCAGTAAATCTATTTAGAGGGAGCAAATGGGGCTGACAGAATCCAAAAAACCAAATTATGGCTAACCAATGCATTAATCTTGCCTGCTAATATTCCCTCCAAGCAGATACATCTAATCATCCATAGACTGCAATAGCAGATAATTGTGTAATATACAACATGAATCATGGTTGGAGGATTGTTCCTCTCACAATAAACCAGGGTTTGAAGCCACTGCTTAGCCTTGCTCTTTATCTTCTGGTTTCTTCTAAGAGTTCCAAGCACTATTTACAGAAAACAATAAAGGTACTACCGATGAAACTACCCATGATTTATTGGCTGGACCCAGTTCCAGGAACAGTCAATAAGAATAACCAGAACATGCATTAGAAATCCATCACTTGAAATGAATCTTATGTTGTATTGCATCACAGCAGCAAGAATACTGATTGCTCAGAATTGGAAAAAAAAGACACTACCAACTATGGATGATTGGAGACAGAAAGTCTCACATTTTGCAGAAATGGCTAAAATATCCGCATACCTGAAGGATCATTCACAGGAGACATTTATCCTGGTATGGAGAAGATGGATAGACTATANGAAGTAGGGAGTGGAAGGAGGAAGGTGGAGTGGTTGAGAGTATAGTGGGAGGAAGTGGTATGTGAAAGAGGGGGAAGCGGGGAGGGGACAGCCGGGATCACCCGTAAAGTATCTTTTCTTTTGTGTACTGATGTTTTGTATTTATATGCATCAAGTTTATGTTTATATTTTGTTTTATTTGAAAATATTAAAAATTCTTTTACAAAAAAAAAAAAAAAAGAAATCCATCACTTGATTTACTGTGTCACAACACAGTACACAACTGTTCTGTTTGGGGGAAAAATGTGATTTTGGTAAGTTTTCTATTTAGTGCCGTTCCTACAGTACCTAAATATTCCATCATGTTTTTCTGAAGCAGCTCAAGAACTTGAGGACATTTTTGGAGCAAAGCAATACATCCTACAGAACATGAACTTGGTGGACTAGCCAACATTAACACAGATGCTGAGTCAACCTTGAAAGCCTGACAGGATCGAATTCCAGACCGTGAGCAGATTTAGCCTGCAATACTGCAATCCAATCCCTGAGCTACCAGACATATGGGCAAATGTATACCTATCTCCCCAACACCAGCACCACCATCTCCCTATGTATTTTCCTAACATTGAAATAAATGAGTAGATATACAAGGGAACTGTAATTGGTAATGTGACTCACTCATCAAACAAGACATTGTGTTGAGGACAAACACCCAGATTCTTCCGGATAGTGTTGAGTTCAGAACGGATATCTTTCCCCAAGATAAAGGCCGTGCCTGAGGTCGGGGGGAATAAGCCAGTCAAAATGGACCTAAACACAATAGAAAAGAAGTTAGTTTCCAAAATGACAAGAGTCAACTATGAATCAAGATGCCATTTCTTCCTCTTTAACAAAATTGCCTCTTACATTGTGGTAGTTTTTCCTGCTCCATTGTGCCCTAAGAAGGAGGTAATTTGCCCTTCATAAAAATTCAGTGTAAGACCATCTATAGCCAGCTTCTTGCCATCACGGTAAACCTTCACCAAGTTCTTAATGGAGACCCCAAGAGGAAGATGGCTTGGCTCTTCTTCCATGCAAACTATAAAAAGGGAAAGGAAATCCAACTAAGCAAGTAATCAGATTTTTATCTCCGTTGTGTGCAGTCTTCTTGAACAATAACGTAGGTAGCGAAAATAATGGAGATCATAGGGCACATTGGGATATGATGTAGATGTAGCCACTTTCTGAATCCCAGGGAATATGATTGTTGGAAATCTAACTGATCCCAGGTACCGGTAGAAGTCCCAGGTAGAACTATGAAATGTCAGAAGATTTCCATCAAAAAAAAAGGCTGTGGTGAGAATTATCTGACCTAAGTTTGATCAAATATGCTGCTTCTTCTAAACAGGCCCTGGTTAGGTCTGTTTGGGCGTCAACGCTACAGCTTAAAATCCAATCATGCTTTTGCAGGATGAGCCTATGTTCCATTTGACCCAACCTTTCCGAATTATAAGAAATCCCAACATTACTCCTTAACTACCCCTTTTCTGAGAAGAATTCTCTGTGTCTCATATTGTGACCACATCACTAATGAATAGGTGCTAAAAAGATCAACTGTGAATGAATGCCAAATGTGGCTTGTTGGCCATATCTTATGTATGCCTGAAGACCGGCATCCAAAAATTGCACTATGTTGGATACCTCCTGAAGGAAAGAGGAAACAATATCGGCCTTGGAAAACCTGGCACCGAACATTTAAGATAGATCTTAAGATTATTATTAATGTCCCTTGGAATGCTGCCAAAGATGCTGAAAATGTTTGAAACCGGTGGAAGTCACTTGCTGCCCAATGTGTTCTGTCCAGGACTAATAATGATGGTGATGACCCCTCTTCCTTATTATAACGGGCATCTAAGATTGCAAATGAGTCACTTACTTTCTGATGATCCTGCAGCATGAGAAGGGAGCCACTGTCCTCCAGCTTCCTCACCAAACCAATAGGATTTCATAAAGGGGAAGTACCAAGGTCTGGGAATGCCATATTGACCTAAACAGAATGCAAAGTAGTTTTCATGAAACAAAAGAATCAGTCACAGCATTTGAGACAGGAAAAAGTGCTTTTCAAATGGCTGAACTAGGCTTGTTTTGTACTCTGTCAAAGAAGTTCTAGCTGCATCTGCTATTTGATTGAGCGTCACATACAGATAGTCCTCGACTTACAACAGTTCATTTAGTGACCGTTCAGAGTTACAATGGCACTGAAACAAGTGGCCATTTTTCACACTTACAACTTTTGTAACATCTCCATGATCGTGTGATCAAAATTCAGATGCTTGGCAACTGGTTCATACTTATGACCGTTGCTGTTTCCCAAGGTCATGTGATCACCTTTTGCAACCTTTTGACAAGCAAAATAAATGGGGAAGCCAGACTCACTTAACAACCATGTTATTAACTTATCAACTGCAGTGATTCACTTAACAACTGTGGCATTAAAGGTCGTAAAAGGGGGCAAAACTCACTAAACAAGTGTCTCACTTAACAACAGAAATTTTGGGCTCAATTGTGGTCGTAAGTCAAGGACTATCTGTATATGATTTAACCCTAAGTATTAAAACTAATTGAAACAAATTCTAGGTTCTTCCATTTGTGAATCACATATACAAATGCATTCTTTTAACTGGCACACACATTTGTTTTGATTGCCTTCTAAAATTTCTACTTGTAGCCCTGTAGTTCAATTTATCTCAACCTTATTTCCATTTATTAAAATGCAGATTGGATGATATAGTGGGATTCTTTGTATCTCTGCAATAAAATCAATTTAGAAAGACTCTGAATGCTTGGAATTAACTTTTCTAGAAATATATTCAGCGGGCAACATTGAAAGCAGTATATAAGGCTGATGTGCATGTATCCTCCAAAAACGATTTTCTCCACTGAGCTGAATTAACTGTTAACTCTTACAATTTGAGAAATCTGCTTGCACGTTTAGAGCTTCTAGTTTTTGCACATTCAACTCTGAGTAACTTAATCACACAATTAAGGGTTTATACATAGGAAAGCAGACTTTCCATATCTAGGAATTGTTCCTGTCTGGTGTTCCCCACAGTACTTGAGACCTTTGGAACCATTTCTGCAGCTGCAGCCTAGATTTTTGCTGCTTCTCCAGAGGAAATGTTATGAAGTCAGAATTGCCGTTGTTTATTCTAAAGTTGCAGAATGGGCACTTCTCATTATGGGAATTCTCTTCTGATCATGCCTCCTGGTTCCTTAGATCAACCCTCCCATCCATACTTCCACTAAGATTTGAGATGCTTTTGTTTCTTGCCTCTGATTTTCTGCTTTCTCCCCTGCAGAGGAGCAGCTGTGCTCCTTATCCTCCACAGGACAGTGGCTTTCACTGGGAGAAGAAGCAGGAGGAGGAGGAGGAGGAGGAGGAGGAGGAGGAGGTGTGGCTTTCACTGGGAGAAGAAGCAGGAGGAGGAGGAGGAGGAGGAGGAGGAGGAGAAGGAGAAGGAGAAGGAGAAGGAGAAGGAGAAGGAGAAGGAGAAGGAGAAGAAACGGGATTCCTCACCTGGAAAAACAGACTCAATGTACCAAGTCATAATGCCATACAACAAGCTATCCAGCACCATCATGAACACAGATAAAGTCAAGTTGAAACTGTCTTGTTCCACAGGGCTTTCAAAGAAATTGTCCCACTGCAACCCAATACCCTGTTCTTCAAACAGGGAAACATACTCGCAGCCAAATCCAAAGGCAACAGGAGAAAGTAGGCTCTGTGAAGAAAGACCGCCAATTAGTACTCTTATTACTTTCACTATTTATGTTTTTTAATGTGAGGAAAGCCAATGGGTCAGATTAAACCAGCCACTCTTACATACACTAAGTAAAAGTGACCCAAAGTAAAAAATGCAGACTGATACTTCAACCACTGCCCATGGTTGATTTAAAGCAGGGGTAGGCAACCTTGGCTCTTTTATGATTCGTGGACTTCAACTCCCAGAATTCCCCACGAGTCATAAAAGAGCCAAGGTTGCCTACCCCTGATTTAAAGTATATATGCCCAATGGGAATAATCATTCAACAGAAACGTGACTCTGTGTATCTTTGCCCCAATCATGTCCCTTTGCTCCTGAGGATGATGGGAAGGTTTCACAGTAAAATGTTTTCCATGCAAAGGGTAGTAAATATTATGACTACCATTACGGGTCCGAGATCAGCAAAATAGATTAAAGTGCATTGGAAAGCCATATAATTTGGTGGATCTGAAAGCTTTACTAAGAGTTGAAATGTAATTTAGATTTTGTTACACATTAGTCATAGATTTAAGGAGCCAGTGTAAAAAAATACTCAGAAAAAAAAATCTCTTCAATTACAGCCCTCCCAACTTTCCAGATGTACATGGATAAAATTTTCCATCCGAGTTGCAGAGATGGAGATCATTGTTCTAGGCATCTTAGAAATATACCAAACTCTGGGAAATCTCTTTTGCTTAACCCACAGCAACAACAAAAAGTCTGCCTGCTTATTGCCAATACTCACTGCAAATATTCTGAGAGAGAAACCGATATAATTCTGCCAGGCTTCACATAAGGGGTAAGGCAAATAGAGAGTAAAATAGATAATTCCTCCACAAGCAGCTGCTATGTTGGCTCTGGAGAAGAAGGTGCTGATGAGGAAGCACTGTGAGATGGTTACGACACCAAAGAGAGACAGGAAGATGAAAATCACGCTGGGATCACTGTAGGGCAGCAAGTTTCCTTTCTGGATAAAAAAAGAAGAGAAAGAGAAATAAGTTTGTGTTGCACCAAACACTGTACCATTAAAAAAGGACAACTACTACAAATGACTGCAGAGTTTTGTCAAGTATACTTTCAGCATCCAAGTTCAGTTTCCCCCCCAGGTAAGAGGTGAAAAAGAGTATAGTGACCTTACACCATCCATATTTTTCTACAGACCAGCGAGATGTTTACACCGATCTGTTACTGGCTATCTTTTTTATTGTCATTTTCCAAGAATTCAAAGAAATATTTTTGTGGCATCAAACTTTGTGAAGCATGTTTGAGCAAGGGCTGGGATCCCACACTACACTGAGCCATAATATGATCTGTTTGGTTCTGACTTGCCATGATGTGTGAAATATGTGAATTCACTAATGTAGGGGTATCAAACTCAACTTCATTGAGGGCCGCGTCAGCATTGCGGTTGCCCTCAGGGGGCCGGGTGGGTGTGGTCAGGGTGGGTGCGGCCTACTGGGTGGGTGTGGATGGAGTGGGTGTGGCCTACTGGGTGGGTGTGG